GCTTCACATATCTGTCGAATCTTTTCCCTTGTTTTTTCACCGTGGTCTTAACGTTAGTCTTGCGACCAACGAGCCACTTTACTTTCATTTTACTCGGGAACCGTTGATTGAGGAGTATTCCATTGCCGCAAAACTTTGGCAGTTTGAATTCAATGATCTCTCTGAGATTGCACGGAACAGCGTTACACAGAGCGGATTCCCTCCCGCATGGAAGGAAAATGCCCTGGGGAAGTTGTACTATTTGAACTCGGCTCTCGGTAATGATGTGCGAAAGAGCCGCGTCTCGGATATCCGTGTCGCGTATCGATATGAGGCATATCAATCGGAGCTTAACTTTCTTTCCGGGCAGCTTTCTGGGGGAAGGCAAATGCCGCGGGCGATGCGTCTGCTGGAGGAGGAAATTGCCATTTACGAGGAGGTCATGCGGACCAAAGTGGTGATGCCAGCCGCAGGAGACGAGGACGACGGAAGGGAGGAGATCCGCAGTCCAGCGGCACGTGCAGTGCGGATAAAGGCGGAGTTGGATGCGTTGGAACGCGACATGCAGCGGATGAAGGTTCTTGCCATGCAAATGGGGAGCGAAAACCGGGGCATCGTGGAGGCCTTTCACCGCATCCGTGCGAGGCTAAAAACCGAGGGACTCACAGTGATGGGAAATCTCAATGACTGCTTTGAACCACCGGACACAAATGGCGCTGCATCTGAAACCATCGATCGGGTCTCGGAGAATTTCGTTAAGGAGGCCGCCTAAAGACAGCTGCTTCTTTTTGCCAGTGTTGTTGTTGCTGTTGTGGTGGTGGTGGTGGTGGCGACTTCAGCTCATGAGTGCTGATCGTGTGGAGAATGTTTTGCTTCTTTTTCTCTCTCTTTGGATGTAAAAAATAAAAAAGAAATTTGAGGTGAAAAGAAACAAAAAGAAGAAATGAAACAACGAATGAAGGGAGGGAGGGAGAGTTATCATTTATTTTATTTTATTTATTTATTTATTTTTTTGCGTACCCGTAAGTTGGCACGGATGTACTCTTTTACCCACGATGAGGAACGAAGCAAATTTGTCTGCAAGGGCATGGTGGGGGGAAATGAAAAAAAAATTGATCCACCCTTTTTTTGCACTGCTGTGGTGGTGAGTGCGGGGGTTCCGTTTGTTTATTTTGACATGTATTATCTTCTCTTTCACCACTTCATTTTGTAAGCGATTTTTTACATCCTATTGACGCGGTTGTTTTTTGCCGTTCCTTCATTTATACACTTCAATACTTGACAGCAATGGAAATGAGGGCGATCATGGGGGATTTGCTCACTGGGTGGTCTGTGAGCGGTAAGAGGCCCGGGATGCTCAACAACACCGGGAATTCTTCTTCTGTGTGTAGCAGGCAAGAAATAAACTCTTTTGGATCCAACACGGCGACGAGCGCGGGGGCAACTTTAGGACGAGCACGACCTTACGGTTGGCATCCCTCTCGTACATCGTCTGGTGGGAGTCGCGAGGTAGGCGCTGATGATGTGGGCTCTCGCCGTGGCGAAGTGGCAAGGCGCCTTCATAAGGAAAAACGCAATATGCAGCTGTATTCGCCTTATTTTATCCCCGTGAGGCGACGAGTAGTGCGAAAGAGACCAGGGAGCAGTCGCCCTGCCACTGCGACGAAAGGCGGCTTGGGTCGTTTACGTAACGGTTCTGCGGTAGCGTCGCGCAGGTCTCCTAGTGGTGCCCGCAGGCAACCATCTCAATCTCCTCTACCATTTGCTCGGGGTTTGGTGAAGAGTGGGGGAGTTGTTTCAAGATCCGTGTCCCCGCCTCACAATGCGTCTGCCCGCGCATCACGCTCGCCTGGTGGGGCTTTCTTTGAAAAGCTTTTTCACGCCTCCCATTCTTTCTGTGGGAAGGGTGCCGTTCTTCTAGGTGTGCGGCCTGCATCTGGCAATGGAACCATCAATTCTGCGTGTGACTACAATGCGCGAGACTGCAACGTGCACGGTGACGACACCACACCCCACCCGCTATTAGGTGAAACCCGATCGAGTAGCTTTTCTTCTTGTAATCCTGGGCGTTTTGGCGAGAATCCCGTTGGTAATAAGGCAGTTTTTCGGCGCTATTTGATGGAGTGGGAAG